ATAGCGATGTATACAACGCGTGTAAAATACATTGTTTATTTACATTAAATTCGAACACGAGCTGCGCGACGACCACCACGCTTTAAAATGCCAAAGTCAACTTCAGACACCATTTATAAAATAGTTCTATTTATAGTCTGTTCATTTCCACGGAAAATTTTGCCAAAAATGTCAAATATTGTGATCTAAAAGTAGTAGCAATGTCACATTTTTAATGTTCAGTTCATATAATATAGTACAATGAGACAACGTTCATACAGTACATACGGTAACTTGGTGTATCGTTCAATTGCCTGATCCTTGATCCCACCTTAAACCCAACAACTCGTTGACAACAATCCATAATGAAAATTGAACTCCATGGAAATTACAGAAAATGTGAAGAAAAACATTTTGAGTGTGAACAAATTTGAAACTTAAAGGGTTAAACACCTGACCATCAAAATATTGAATCATGAACATGCAGCAAATATTTGAGTTTAAACTACAACTGCATTTTAATGATCATCTGATGTAATTGTGTATTAAATTATTTACGTCATCCATAGTTTTTCAGCCATTTTTAAGTTATGCGAACATTGCCTACCTTCACATGACTTGTTATCCAAACCCAAATGATATCCAAGTTGGCTACAACTACATCTATACCTACAATCAAATAAGAATAACTTGGTAAATTTGAGAGCATGAACTGATGTACCTAAAGCCTGGCGCACACGAGAGCTATCAGCTCAGGCAAAATTCATTCGTTGCTGTTTGCTTAAGCAAAAATCTTCCGTGTGCGCGCAACTTTACGCAAGATTTTAGTCACTCGTGGCGAAATGGTGAATATCTGTTGTGTTTGATAAATTTCGCCACTCGTGGCAGAATGCTTTCCGTGTGCGGTGAAATGAATGTAAACTTCTACGTTGAGTCTCAATGCACATTGTTTGACCGATTTTTCTTTTTGTACCAACTGGTCTTGGTAGCTTACTTTCAATAGATCACAGCAAAGTATACTAGTACATGCTAGTCACACCAACATAAATGTTGATCTAGAATTCATACTGATAAATACAGAGCTTGTTGATGGATTATTACCTCATTCCTTTTGGAAGCTCTTACAGGCAATATGTTAACAACATAAATACATTTTCTTGAGCTATTGTAACTATCAGAAATTAATTTTTAAACCATATTTACATGCACCTACATTGTGTGTGTATCAAATGGTACATGTGAAAGACACAAAAACTATTCTACCCACAGGATAAAATTTCTCCCACTTTTCCTTGATACGGGACAGGTGAAAACTATATTTTGACAACGGTATAAGCTGCTGTGATGGAAAATAGTAATAAAATAAACTTTGATATGACCATTAAACTTACCCTCCGTCATAGTTCTCACATTCATCTTGACATCCTCCATTATCATTTAAACATTCGTTGATATCATTACACGTCAAACCATCGGCTGTTATCTGATACCCTTCATGACAACCGCAACGAAAACTGCCACCAGTATTCGTACACAGGTCATTATGAGAACACGGTGAAATTAAACACTCATTCACATCTAAAAATGAGTACCACATAATCATATTTAAATGAATTACCATATTTATATCATTTATTAATCATATTCATCAATCAGTAATCATTATTAGGTCAATTATTGATCAATTATTATTTGATAAATTAAAATCATAGACATTTGAATCTACAATGTTTCTGAACTTCCAGTACACATAAGTACAGTAGCCATTGGAACCATGTTCATAGCAATTTACGCTCCACACAGAGTTACATTTAATTTTAAGTATGGTCATTGTTATTGCAAATGACATCCTATATTGTCAACCAAAACCAATCATTTCACCTCAAGGATGTCTTGATTCTAGAGTTCATGTGAAACTGCTTTATTCTCTACCAGTAATTATAATATTTGACTCACCTTGACAGTAGAATTCATCTACCTGAGTATAGCCATCATAACACGAACAGTTGTAACTAACAATAACAAAAAATAAGGATAATAAAATACATATTTGTTACAAATAAAAACACAGTAACCATGGATACAGTACATTACAAGCACAAGATATCTGATCAAATGAACAAAATGTGACATTGCTTCTAGTTTTTAATATAGTTCCAAAAGTTTGAAATTTTTGTCAACATTTTATGTGGCAAAGGGCAAACTATAAATGGAACTAGTTTATGAATAGTGCCTGAAGCTGACTACGGCGAGTCCAAGAAATAACATGATACATTTATGCAAATATAATGCATACATTAAATCCCCAAATAAATAGTATTAAACTGACCTTCCATCTATATTCAAACAAATTTGTTCACATTCATTTAAACTTTCATCAGCACATTCATTAATATCTGAAATCAACACACAAATGTATAAAATATTTTTTTCAAAGAGTTGTTCACTGAAACATATCAGTAATATCATCATACTGATAATGTCATTTATTCCATAAGAATCTGCCAGACTGGGCTACCAATCTGAAATTATTTTACAAGAAAACGTGAGAATTGTGAGAATAAACTTTATTTTAAATTAGCAATATCTTAAATTACGTATTAGCTAAATTGGCTAAAAAAATATGTTTTATGTATACAATTAATGATGAATATTGGGTAGATATATGATATATAAATATTTTTAAATAAATCTGTTTATTTATAACTATTTTACCTCGACAATGGAACCAGTCATAATTCAGAAATCCTTCAGGACAGATACAGGAATAATTGCCAGGTGTGTTGTTGCAATCTGCACCTTCCTCTATAGCGCATTCATGTGCGTCTTCAGAACACTCGTCAATATCAACACAATCATCTATTTCAGGATTCTCTCTCTGATATCCAGCAAAACATCTAGATATAAAATAGGTATAGACTTCAAATGGCGATGGAAGATACACAAACATATAAATTATTTCCAAGAAATTTTCTCTTGAATCAGAGAGTGAAACAAATGCATACATGACATATAATGGTGTATGTGCATGCAAAGTTTCATGTAATCCATCCAAGTACTGGTATGTTAGAGATATAGGTGTGGGTACACACATGAAAGCAAAAATTATGATTTCTTATTTTTTGATTCTGACTGAACAGGGACTAAATATAGTTATGACAAAAGACAGCACTGCAAAATCATAGAAAACTCACCCACATTGAAATCGACCTGGTAAATTCACACATAACTGACTACAATCTCCATTTTTCGTAGCACATTCGTCAATGTCATTACACGAAATACTATCATCTTCCAGATAGAAACCACTATCACATGAACAGAGAAACGAGCCTGCAATTAAGAGTAAAGATTTTGAAAAATGTGTGTATTGTCACCTTCTAAAATTCTGGAGTCAAATCTTGAGCAACACATTGAGTGTCATTAAAATCCACTTTATTTTTGATGATTGCCATACACAATGTTTACAACATGTAAAATAATTTATTATTTTATAAAGTATAATTATAATTTAATAATTATAAATACAATGACCTTCAGTGTTGGTGCACAACTGGTCACATGGTCCTCGTCTATTATTAGTAGCACACTCATCAATATCATAGCACATCGTATTGTTGACATTATTACTATGGTAACCACCACGACACAGACACTTGTAACTTCCTGGCAGATTAATACACACATGATGACATCCTCCATTGTCTTTAGTACATTCATTGTTGTCAAGGCAACCAGTCATATTTTCATTCTTCTGGTAACCAATATTGCATTCACAGTGGAAGCTGATAAGAAGATGAATATTCCGATGAAGTAAACATTCTGAGCAATTTTTCCTACCAAAATTTTAGTGCAACATTTTGCTGTTTTAATGTATTTTTTCTGTATTTTTTGATTATTTTGGCACAAATGGACAAAATTTTCTATTGACTACATGTCTTGAACAAAGTTTTTGAAAATTTTTCAAACAATATGTGATGGTGACTAAAGTTGAGTTGCCTGAAACGGTTGCTCAACCTTTTCACCAAAATTTGTGTGCACTTTTTTTTATATTCTTCAATATTTCTGGAAATGAACCCTAATTTTGGAGCCTAGACAAAATTTGAGTAAATTTTCAGTTTTTACTCAAAAAAATTGGCTATTTCTTTCCCAATGTTCTGAAAGAAAGTGCAGACTATAAACAGAACTATTTTGTGAATTTGTGATGAAGAGAGGGAACTGCAGGTGGTTAAAAGGTTAAAGAGACACACTATATTCAGTTGAAGACTCTTACTGACCTTCCTATTGTATTGATACATGTATGGCAGCTATCAGGTGGATTAATGCACTCATCATAATCCACACATTGAACTGATTTACTCGAATCTGTATTTAATATAAATCCATCATAACATTCACAACGATATCCACCAGGAAAGTTAACACACCCCTGTTGACATGGTTCTGAAGTTGTACACTCATCTATGTCTGCAAATAAAATGACAGTTTAATTCAAATTATTTTGGTTTAATATGAGCTTAGACCATTCTATCAACTGATTAAGCTCAACTAGATAAGTATAGCAGAATATCGTTTTTTTATTTCTCAATATTTCGATGTTGAATCAAAGACAAATTGTAGTCAAAATAATTTCTTATTTTACCACTAGGGCCAAAACGAGTTATGTTTAACCACCTATGGATGGTTTCTTACATTTAAATACTTAAGCATAACATGTGTTATCTCTCCTGACATTTTTTTTTATGCGCAATTTGCAAATTTCAAATTTGCCACAGAAACCATATTCATGCTTGGGACTACATGACAGGGATGTGCGGCCATCGACTTTCTATCAAATGGAATTATAATGCGCTATCGTGGCATCAACCAGGCTCGGTTGAACACAAGCATTGTAGACCTTAACCAAAGTTCTCCAAAGTCGCATTTGTTAGTGAATGAATCTCGGCCAGTGGAATCGGCCTTCCTATTGAGTCTGTGGCACACTCACCCAGGGTCGGGAGTCAACTCTTTTTGGTGTCCAGCCTAATTAGGTAGGATTTGAACTTTGGTCTACTGATCATGAATCTGATGAGACAACCACTATGCTTGACAAAGTGAATTTTTTTCCTACCTTTACATACTTTACCATTGGGACTAAGATAAAATCCTGTTTCACAATCACAGAAATAACTACCAGGTGTGTTAATGCATAATTGATTACAATGATGAGAGTAATATTGATGTTCAGTTGCTTCTCTATCACACTCGTTAATATCTGAAACCAATTAAAAAAATCAAGTTTTATATGATAATTTATAATGTACTGCGGATCTATAAAACATAAAAATGTTGAGTGAACATATGTGATTACTGTGGAGTGATATCAATAAACATGTGAACAAAACCATGATAATTCACTGTACCGGTAGTATAAAATAAGAAAACATGGTGAATGTTGAATAAAATGTCAATCCGATTTCAAAAGCATGTAACAATCATGCCTGACTTCATTTCACATTGCGAATACACACAAACTTTTACACTTTATTAATATTAAAGAATATCACTAGAAATATTTTACAAATTACCTCGACATCCGTGTCTATCAGATTTGAGTTTATAGCCAGGATGGCAGGTACAGTAATGTCTGCCTTTATCCAAAGGATGGCATACTTGTTCACAACCACCATTATTCACACAACCTTGTTCCATAGCACCTAATATATAGAATGTGATTGGTAGAAAATAACATGGATGATGTCATACATATGTCACCATGAGGGTCCAAGTATTACGGATATGTACGTCTGTTGATTTCATACACATATTTCAGCAAATGTCACACGAGTGACACAAAGTTACAGTAGCCAATCATTGATACTTACCTACACAAGTATGTAAATCATCTGCTAAATGAAATCCACGAAAGCATTGGCATCTGTAGCTGCCAACAGTGTTAACACACTCATCAGAACAACCACCATTATCACTAATACATTCATCAACATCTGAGTTAATGGAAATAAACACCACAGAATACATAAAAAAATTTATATTATTATTTATTATGTTTAAAATAAATTTATCTGAAGATTGAATATTTCAGGAATAAAAGCAGTATGTCAGCTAATATAGCTTTGCTGTATAGTGAGACTAAAAATTAGAGAATCTCTAAAATTAGAGAATTGAATATATCATCACAAAATGAACAAATCTGACTAAATTCCATTCATGGTGTCTATATATAAAATATTGAAGCAATTGGGCTTGCCGTTTCCAAGTTGAAAATATCATTATTTACCAAAAATTACAAACAAATATTTATCAATTGAAGGTATCATCACAAAATGAACGAATCTGAAATAAGTCCACCACAGGTACAACCTGTATATGCAATATCAAAGCAATCAGTATATAATATAACAACAGCCCCAGTTGACGAAGTCAACAGCAGAGCTAATAACTTTTGGCTTTAAATGATATGAATTTTGATGTGGTTCTAATGGAAAAATATTACATTAAAGAATTTGGAGGAGTTACTACCGTTACCACCCCTATTCTGACCTGACCAAAAAGTTTGTAGATATTGATTATTAGTAATATGTCAGAATCTAGATATAACTGGTTCAAGCTGGATTACATACCTTTACATGATATGTCAGAATCTAGATATAACTGGTTCAAACTGGATTACATACCTTTACATGATTTGCCATCAACCATGAGATAGAATCCCTCAGAACATAAACATTCATAACTACCCAGTGTATTGACACAAATCTGATTACAACTATTCACATCTTCCATGCATTCATTTAGATCTGTAATATAATCAACAATCATACAAATCTTAAAATAAATTAGTAACCCATGACTGGGAAACTATTTCTGCCATTCGGTCAAAAATCCTCAAATTGACATGCATATGTCTTGTCTTTGTACCTACATTGACAAAAATTTAATACAAACAAAAAACGTTTAAGGACACATAAAAATAAAAAGTACATAGGTACATGCAGTATAAACTAAATACTGTTCACATTTCTTTTGATGTTTACTGTAAACAAAATCAGCCAAGAGAAACCTGGAGAAGAACAATAGAAAAGGAGCTCAGGAGTAAGAGACTGTCCCTTGAGACTGCCCCCAGAATAGCGGCTGACAGAGCCAGATGGAAATTCCTTGTTTCGCCTTAAGCGCCAGACGGCCCAGGTGCGGACTGAATGAATGAATGTAAACAAAATCTTGTATACCACTATGATAATTGTTGCAGGGAAGAATGCAAGCATTGCAAATGTATTTATTAATTTAAGTGAAAAAATAAAAATAAAATAACATGCATATAATTGTCCAGCACTTATCATATACAAAATTTTGCCAACCCTAAACATCCTTAATATTTACCGTTACAACTCCTGTAGTCTCTTTGAAGTACATAACCAGTTAGGCAAGTGCAGAAGACATCACCACGACGATAAGTACACACCTGATCACATCCGCCATTGTTGCTCAGACATGGACTGCGATCTACTGATTCTATATTCAGAAAAAATATAAATATTTATTTCATTATTGTTTTATAACAAGTTCTGATTACTCCCTGTCATAAAGACCCCGGTGAAATATTCATTTCTATACAATTAGTGAATATTTCCTGATCTAATAAAGTTTGTTTCTAGAGCTCACACAGATCACATCCAAA